TATTGTTGTTATTACTTGTTCTTGGGGTTTTCTTGGCAAAATCTCCACAGGGGTTTTGCCATGGCTTTTCTGGGGCTGAGAGAGTGTGCATGCATATTATTTATTTATTTATTTATTTATTTATTTATTTATTTATTTATTGGTGCTTCGGCCCCCCAATTGTCTGAGGGACAGCAACCCGGCCCCCAGCTCAAAAAGGTTGCCTACCATGATATAAACCCTCCACTATTTCTTGGCAGAATAATTTCCACAAAACACTTTGGGACATTCGAATACCAGGAGAAAATGACACAAAATCTCACTGCTATGTTATTCTTTCCAACGATTATTCCCATCAGGACACCCATTTTTAACACAGGAAATGAATAACTCAAGATATTTTTTCCATTCTGTTTACTGTTTTGACAATGCCAGTAAAAAAGCAGGGAGACCTGGAGGACACAAAGAAACTTTCAAAGTAGTTTATTTGTAAATTAGATTTTGTGCATTGCTTCGCCTCCAGTGGCGGGGATAGCATTTCATTAAAAATAGCTAAAATGTTTTCTAATTGTGGAATTCCCCTCCTTTGATTTTTGTACTGCATTTCCAGGGAGCAGAAGAGGTACTTTTGGAATTTGCTGCCTCGGGTGACCAAATAACCTGAACAGAGTGAAGTCGAAGGCTTTCATGGCTGGCATCCATAGGTTTTTGTGGATTTTTCGGGCTGTGAGGCCATGTTCTAGAAGAATGTATTCCTGACGTTTCGCCTGCACAGCCCGAAAAACCCACAAAAATCAACCTGAACAGCCTTAAGAGAAAGCAATAATGGCACCAGGCAAACCTTCTTCAGAAGGGTGCTCTGTAACTGAGTGCCACTGCTGAGAAGACATTCTCTCCCACTGTCCTTCACTTTCTTTCAAATAAAAAAGCACAGAGAAAATAGCTGCAACAGGGTTGCGGAAAGTGCCGTCTATGGGATACAGGCAACCACAAACCCTATTTTTCATCCCCGAAGCCCCTACTAGCTGTCCACCCTAGATCTCAGGATATAGAGGTATTAGTAAGAGGGCTAGAGCGAAACAAGGAATGGAATTGATTAGACCAGGGATAATCTGTAGACCACTAGTGGTTTTGTAAGATCCATTCAAGTGCTCCAGCCCACAGGAAGGTTGTGGACTAGTAAAGAATATCTCATAGCCTCCCCAACATTTCACAGATAAAAACTAGGATACATGTGACAGGCAACATTAGAGTGTGGCCAAGGGTGGCAAAAGTTTTGAGTGAGTTATCCTTTGCCTGAGCCTATTGGGAAGGACAAGATTCTGCCTCCTCTCCTCCTGCTGAGTTAACTGAGTGCAGACTATGGAGATTGTTGCACTGCTAATAAAACTGGCTTACCTGAGCTGGCTTAAAATTTTAAACGGGCAGCATCCTGATCTTTTTTTACATACTGTATGGAATTGTGTTTTACATACTGTATGGAGTTTTAACTGTTGTTAGCCGCCCCGATTGTTGACAGAGGGGCAGGGTATAAATAAATATTATTATTATTATTATTATTATTATTATTATTATTATTATTATTATTATTATTATTATTATTATTATCTTATCATAAGGATTTAGCTCCTCAATTTGCCACCCAGCTCCATTCCGGGCCACTCCGGCGGCCATTTCCTTAAGCCACAAAACTCCCAGCTTCACAAAGAGGCTGCTGAGCACCTCTGTGAGCAGGGACAGATCCAGGATGGACCCGGGTGGCGATTTCGACAGTTAAATACTTCTGACAACATCAGGATGCTGCCCCTTTTAAATTTTAAGCCGGCTCAGGTAAGCCGATTTTATTAGCAGTGCAATAAGCTCCTATGTTTGCACTCTAAACTCAGTTTCCAACAACTAAAGTAAACTGAGGACAAAAGGGGAAAGTGGGAGAAGAAAGAAACTGGGGCATTATTAAAGCTGCTGAAGAAGCGTGACAGAGGATGACTAAAGTCAGGCAATACTGTTACATAAAGGTTAAAGGCTGTAATCATTGCTAACATACCATAGTCATTGTTTTCTTTGCTATGCCTTTTCATCATTTTGGCATGTGTGTGTTTTCGTAGCCCTGCTCGCACCTGGTCACCTTCCTCACACATTGCATAGCCACTATTTACTGTAGTTTCCTCCTCATCCATCCAGGCTTTAGGGTGAGCATAAAAAAAATATGCCTGCAAGAATTTTGTAAGTTCTTTGGCATTGTTTTCCTTTGCTTCATCCTTGACATTCTTTTTATGTGTCCCTAGGGTTTATCCTCAACTTATCCAAGGGTCATACAAAAATCCATAATTTTGGTTCCAAAACATACCCTTGACTTATACACAAGGTCAATTCATACTTGAGTATATATGGTAAACCACTATGCAACCAACTAGATTTTCCTATAAAAATTTATAAGTTAAAAAGGATCTTTTTCAGTGGCCTGGCCTAGAACCTGTAATTTTATAGTATGTTGCTGGTTTTGACAATGACGCTGGCACTGAAGACAAAAATGTTATCCGTATTTGAGTTACGCATGTACTTTGATTTATAGAACAAAAACAAAAGCAGTTTAAGTGGTCCACTGAGAACCACAGCTATTTTCAAATGGTATATAAAGAAGCAAAATAAAGTTTAAAAATGGCTAGTTTCCAAGTGACTCAAAAAAGGTAGTGCCATCATATGGATTTGGGGAGTTTTCTTTTGGCTATTAAGTTTTGAATTTGACTAAAAATTCTTTATTTTTATATATTGCATCACCTCACACCTTTCCATTTTCTGTTAAAAAGAGCTCAAAGCAGCTAACAAAGATTTCTTTCAAAAGAAGCAAAGAGAGGTAAAGGGCAAGATGTAAATATTTTAATACATTTTGATAAAAAATACTGTAGCTGGCATTCAGTGACATTCACAAGCATAAGTAATGCTATTCATGTGAAGTAAATTATCTGCAATAGTGCAAAGGACGTTGACGTGGCACAAGCAGAGTAGGGTATAAAGCAATATTATGCACTGTGTGTATGCACTATGCTTTGCACATTGTGGTTGTACATTGCACAACTCCCAGTCATTGACACTTGTTGCACAATGTTGTTCTGCAAGGGGATTGTGTAGTCCTTGTACTGTATATTGTGCATATATATGCTATGCTGAGGGGGATGTTGAATTATAGCCATTAAATAATAAAATCATTGAGATATCGCAGTAATCAATCAACTTCAAAATGGTTTAAAAGACAAAAATGCTTTTAAACTTCAAAACAGTTCAAAAGATCTTTACTCTCTTGTTAAAAACACTGAGGGGTGAACATCCCACAAACTGGGAGCTTGCCCAGACAGTCAGCCTCCACTGTTGATATTAATCCCAAAAGGGCCTCCTCTAAATATCTTATCATCCAAAATTCATAATAAAAGTGAGAGTAAATAGCCAACTGCCAAGTAGTTCAAGGCTCTAGAACAGGGGTAGGCAACCTAAGGCCCGGGGGCCGGATGCGGCCCCCTGAGGCCTTTGAACCGGCCCCAGACCGGTCCTGCCGCCGCCCCCCTGCTGCCGCCACCCGCCATGATGATATTGATTATTGTTGTTATTACTTGTTCTTGGGGTTTTCTTGGCAAAATCTCTACAGGGGTTTTGCCATGGCTTTTCTGGGGTTGAGAGAGTATGCATGCACATTTTTTAAAAACTTTTTAAATTTTTTTTAAAAAAATATTCTTATATTTATTTATTTATTTATTTGTTTGTTTATTTATGGTGCTTCGGCCCCCCAATTGTCTGAGGGACAAGCAACCCGACCCCCGGCTCAAAAAGGTTGCCTACACCTGGCGCCTTGAAGCCATTTCCAAGCATAAGTTGAATCTATCATTGAGTTTTCTTGCCAATTTTTTTCCTAATTAAATTTGTATTGATTTTTTACAATAAAACACATAACATCTGTAGAACAATGACAACAATAACAACAACAACTAACTACAAGGGCCAAGGTATGTATCTGATGAGTAGTTATTCTGCAGCAGAATCAAAAAATTAGTTCTCTGTCTGCAAGAGCCAGAGAGTCCGGTGGGAATGATGATTAACATAATCAATAAAGATCATCTAGTCTTCTTGAAATGTGTCAGTCCTTTTGTGGCCAATGCAAAACCTTGTCATAGCAGACAGTTTCTCCATCAACCACATATCCCAAATTCTAGACCACCAGTTCTCAGTGGAGAGGTCACCTAACTTCCATCATTTGGCTATTTCTAAATCTAGCAGCGGTAATAAGAAAAATATCAGTTTCCTGTGTTTCAAGTTAGAATTACTTTTAACAAATATAGAAAGCAAAAGCAAAATTGGACAGAAATTTACAGTTTGATCAATGATACATGAAATTTGATAGAGAACTGCATCCCAGAATTTTCTTACTTTAGGACATTCATATAAGAGCGTCTAGATTCACAACTCCTCCAGAAATCTGGAGAGAGCATTTTAACCATTTTTGACAGTGTTACAGATGTGAGATACCACCTATGGGTGGTTTTCAAAGTATTCTCTGTCACAGATGCTGAACAGCATTTGTATGGGGGTGAAGACCAAATATGAGCCCATGCAGTGTCTGAAATCTTGGTTTTCAATTCTTCTTGCCAAAATGAGTAAATATACATGAGTTACAGGAGATGTTTGTAGATAACTGCTTCCGTCCCTTTAGTATGAGAAGCAGAATTCAAACAAAAATTTTCAAAAAAGGAGAGCGGACGTGGAGATTATCCTGCTGAGGCTAGGTGTGATGCAAAGTAAGCAATTTGGTGTACTTGAAGCCAGGTAATGTTAGTTTGTTGTAGGGAAGTTTTTATGGTGTTGGTGGGCTTTGGTAATCCACCAGAGAACAGGTCTAAGGTGCAGTAGAGTCCACATCTTCTCAATAACTTTATTAGTGGGAATTGTTGGCAATTTCATCAAAGGGGGTTTGCCATTGCCCTCCTCTGAGGTTGAGAGTGTGTGACTTGCTCAAGCTCACCCAGTGAATTTCATGGCTCGGCAGGGGTTCAAACCCTGGTCTCCAGAGCTGTAGTCCAACACTCAAACCACTTTGCCACACTGTCTCTCTAGAACTTCAACTACCACTGTGAATAGAGCCAGGAAAGCAACTTGGAGCCAGCACTAGTTATTCAACATCAGAATTATATTGTCTTGACACCCTGCACCAGTAATCAGCTTAGATGCTGCATTTTCCATCAATTTCAGCTGTCTAATAGGATTGTATTCAGAGACATAGCCATAAAATCATAGAGTTGGAAGACACCCCAAGGGCCACCCAGTTGAACCCCTGCAGGAATACACCATCAAAGCACACCCAACAAATGGCCCTGCAGCTTCTTTTTTAAAACCTCCAAAAAAGGTCCCCCACACTCTGAGACAGTGTATTCCATTGTCAAACAGCTCTTACTGTCCAGAAGTGCTTCCTAATGTTGAAATGGAATCTCTTTTCCTGTAGTTTGAATCCATT